GCCGGTAGACAACTTCTAGCTCTTACTTCTGCAGACGGATAAGTATCCTTCACAGGCGGCATGGAACAACATAGAGCGACTTGCTGGCGATCGACACTAGGGGCTTGTGGTCGGTGAAAGCGGTGGCTTTGTGGTCCAATGTATAGTCATTGAAACGCTCCACGGCGTAAACCAATGCAAACATTTCTTTCTCTATTTGCGCGTAACGACGCTCAGTCTCTGTCAGGGTCCGGCTGCGAAAGTCGATAGGCTTACCGTTCTGCATGAGTACGGCCCCGATCCCATACTGACTGCTGTCACACTGGATCTCGAGCGGCAGTGCTGAGTTACAGTAAGCGAGAACCAATTCCTTTATTTTCTGAAGTGCTCTCTCCTGCTCCGCGTCCCAATGCCACTTCTTACTCTTATGCGTCAGTTTTCGAATCGGTACCATTACATCGGCTAATCTGGGCAAGAAACGACAGGTAATTCACCATCCCATTCAGCCTGCTTACGGCTTTCACGTGAGTAGGAGGAGGCATCTGTTTGATGGCCCTGACTTTCTCTGCGTCTGCTTTCAGTCCTTCGGAGCATGGCACATGTCCATGAAACACCACTTCCGTCCTACGCAACTCGATCTTCTCTCGTTTCAGCTTGTTCCTTTCAAAACAGCGCTGCAAAAATCGGTGAAGATTCTGGTCTTGCTGCCCTTGCGTTGCGCCAAAAACCAAAACGCCGTCTGCTACACATAACGTTCCTGGTAAATCGTCTAAAGCCTGCACTAGTCGTTTCTGGAATATCTCGCTAGATACCTTCCGTCCAAACGGTAAACGAAACCAGCGGAAACGCCTGAAAGGTATCCCAAAAGTGGTCAGGTAGCTTGACTCTGCGTCAAGTAATACATGTCAAAACGCAGAAGCAAGCTCGACTTTAGTGAATATTCTAGCTCTGGATAGCACCGGAAGTACGTCGTCTAGCGTCGGTATAGTATAATGCTCCTTCCTGAGTGCGGCGTTTAGTGGTTTTGGATTAGTGCACACGCGTAGTTCTCCAGGTTTCTTAGTAACGATCGCCACCTGGCTAACCCAATCTGTCGGCTCCTCAACTTTGGCTATTACATCCAAACTAGCAAGACGCTGCAGCTCGTCTAAAAATTTCTCACGTGAGGCGATAGGCACCTTTCTGATCGGTAACACTACTGGCTTAGCGCATTCCATTAGAGATAAATAGGCACACCTTTCGAATCTCCCTACGACCCCGTCAAACACGCTTGGGTAGCTGTCAACAATATCTATGTTATCTTCACACCAATGGACGAAATTTTCATGGTTACATGTGACACAACCGTGACTCTGAATAGAACCAATACCCAGAAGGGGCATAAGGTCTCCTGAGACTATCAGGAAATCGAGTTGGTCTTCTGTGCCGTTTTTCGGGTTGATGGCCTTCAACGTGGCCGTATTTTCGGCAGCAACTTTGAACCATTCCACATTCTGAGGCAATTCTGCGTCCTGTCACACGTCATTCCCACACAGTGCTTCTCAGGTAGGATGTTGACAGTAGCCCATGAGTCCAGTTGGGAGCGCACCGGTCGTTTTCGAATCAAAAGCGTCGCGAAAACACACTTGTGTTCTCTACGGTTTTCCAAGTTGCATATCGAAAATTCTTGTAACTGTTCGTTGACGCTCTCGACTACTGCGCTGCCCATAGCCGATCCGCAACAGCGAGTAAAATGGTTCTTCTTGGAACATTCTGTGCACGTTCGACTCCAAGCTGGGCAGCTCTCCTTTCTTTTTGGATGTACACGACCGCAAAACTAACAACTCGGACCCTGTCCTTCGGGTGTCTGGGGCGGACTATTGTTGGTTTGGAAAACCGCGCACAGATTGGTGTTGGTTTCGGCTCTCACATGCTTGAATTGCTGCGGCGTCCTTGCTTCACTCAAGCAGACGTCCATACATTGTTCCAAAGACAGGTTCTTTGTCTCAGAATGCGCCGAGTGAGCTCATCATTCTTTATGCCAATGACAATACGATCTTGTATCAAGGGGTCTCGCATGTATTTGCAGAAGTTGCAGTTACGCGCCAACAATTTCACTTCTGTCATGTAACGCCCGAACGATTCGCTTGGGGATCGATCGCGAACAAAAAATAAACACCTCTGATTTGTTTCATTTATCTGTCCTTCGCAAAACGCCCTGAATCTTCTCAGCAGTTCCGAAAGTTTGACTTCCTCACCTTCCTCACTGGGCTCCAATCTTTCGAGCACCTTCCTGGCTTCATCACCCACAGACTGCTTAAACATCGCCAACTGGTACGCCATTCGTTGAGTATCCAACTGGATTATGGTGATGAAATCCCTCCACTTCACCTTCCACATTCTCCAATTCTCTGCGGAGCGGTCGGCAGTGTGATCGATGGCTGTCGACCAAAAACCAGTGGGTTCCGACGCGTCGGCTTCTTCTCTGTCGCCATGTCGTGTAGCCCTACGGGAAGCAAGAAGACTGTGCCGCGATCACGACGTCATTTATTAAAATTACGCTCGAATATTTATGGAGCATATACACTATTTACAACAGTCCGTTTCAATGGCTCATCCCTGTTATTTGCATCGTGTCGCTGGCTCCTTTTCCATTGGTTTATGCTTGCTCGCCACATTCAATCTGCCTAAAATCATCTTGACTTTTTTACTGGATGTACGATTGGCGGGATTAGGCCTACGCGCTTCTTCTCTCGATCCAATGCCACAAGCCTTGACTCAAGGGCGCACGATTATGCGCTCCTTCACCTGCTGGCGCCTGATTGGCCACTTGCGCGTTCAGTGGATAGTTGCAGGGTGAACGCGATTACGGGTCAATTACTTCCTGATTGGCTTACCAATCTGCTTCCGGCAACATGCTCACTCCTTATCGGTCTGGCCCGTGACGTCCGATCATCACTACAGCATTTCCAATTACCAGCATTTCCAGCCCCCATCACAGAGACAAACAGGGGAAGAGGTGCGGGGATGATAAGATGGCAGAGGAAATGTGTCACAAGGGTTTTGATCCGGTATACGCAAAACTGCCTCACGAAACCAGCTGGCTACGTGCTACACTTATGTCCTCAACGAATATATATGTAACCTCAACGGTCTGGCAACTAAACATAGAGCCAACAAAGCGATAGAGTCTATAAGATAAGTGTATGTCACCGCGTCATAATCATCGTGGCATATTAGTTGTAGGTGAATAACACGATTCAGCTACTATGCCGCAGGAAGAAAGGAACATTTTGACAAAAAATAGAACAAGCCATTTTTAGTTTGTTTTTTGCACCAATTTCTCTCTTTTGTCATTTTCAATCTTTGAAGTATTAAACAAGTGGTCAATACTATTCTGTACACAATTCTCCCACTTATTCCGGTTGCGACCCATGTCTTCATGAATGTTAAGCAATTGGCACTTATCATCTTTGGGTCTCCATCTTGGAAGACGTACGGGTCCAACAGCGGCTAGACACAACGCCAGCGATTTAATGTGCTATCGCCAAGTGGAAGGCTGACGCCCACGCAGTCGCTTCCAGCCAGGTCCTTGTCGAGCGAATGGAGCGCGGCACGGTAGACACTCAGGTGTCATGCGTAGGATGTGACCGAGGCATCTCAACTGGCGCAGCAAAACCAGTTTGTTGTACGGAATACTCGCATTCTTCAAGATGCGACGTCTAACATCATTACTGTTAGCTCAATGTTGCCACCGAACACGAGCAATCCTCATTAAGCAACTGTTATCAAAGGCAGAAAGACGACACATGTCTTCCACGGGAATTAGCCAGGACTCGCTCCCGTACAACAACATTGAACGCACAGATGCGCTGTAAACGCTAGTCTTTGACAAGAATGAGAGGTTGCGACGCCGCCACAGGTGCCTTAGATTGACAAATGCTGATCGGGCTTTAGCGATGTAAAGTCCACAACGAGTAACCAAGCGGAGCTACAGATGGAGGACGGCTGTGTGATGCGCCGCCATTTTGACTATATCCAGTCACACTCAATCGAACCACATGAGCGGGGTCAAAAGTCGAATGCTTCTGGCGCAAAAAACGGACGGCGAATCTGCTTCACAAAACCAGAAACGGCAAACGGATGCGGAACAAGTTCAATTAAGACGCCCAAAATACACGCCTAAACCAGTTGATCGGTATCAACCCGTAGTCTGCAGTCTTTACCAGGGAAGAGAGAGGTGTCACGTATGCAGTTGAGTATTGATCAGTGAACACAAGCGCTCACACGACTGGTTGACAATGACCTTGTCTTACCTCCCTTATTTCATTGGTTTTCGTTTCGGCGTTTCTAGCCACTGTAACGTAGGAAGCTTTCATTAAACGGTTCCATACTACGCCTGCGCATCCTGTTTTGTCTATCGGCTTAGGGCCACACTTAACAGCAACAAAACATACTATCCCCGCCTGAGTTGTCTCTGTTGTTTTACAGGTGAACTTACTTATTCAGCTCAACGTAACTTTGGCATTCCAAATAGGTACCTAGACTGCAGGCTGCTACTTTTAATGAGTTAGACAAGAGGGAATATGTAGATGGGGGTTATCTTTTATCTCGTTTGCATCATGTGGTCAAATTATTCCAGCGTTCCAATTCATCACCATGCCTTGATGTCAGTCGGGGCACAACCTAGGAGACATTACATGCTTACAACCAGCTCGTACAATTGAGCTTCAGGGAGGCAGAATTAGTGCTTTAGTTATAAAACCACCGCATCGTGAATAGACGTATTCGTGAATTGCGTGCAGTGTCATAGCAATCGTTCCTTGGGTTTATATTTCGCGAACTTATATATAATGTATACGTATTTGCATACAAACACCTGCATGACTCCTTCCCAAGCATGCATACACCAGGGACGGTTTGTGGGTAAATTGAATAAACCCGGGTTATCTGACATTAGCGTAACTACTACTCATGTGACCACTCACACTGTCGGTGAGTGCGAAGGGTATTTTAATTACTTTTTGTGTGAATTCACTTACCTGTGGGCAAGTTTAGACTCCCTGCATCCAGTGGGTCTCAACGGTAAGGAGAGTCTATGGTCGGAGAACGGCGATATTTGTCCGAATCTACCCACATGCTTAGCGACATTATATGACAGGTTGAGTGCTTTGCGCTCATTCGTACCTTGTAGAATGAAAAGAAAAGTATTTACTTGGTAATTCGGAAATAATTATATAAGCTAGGCATTTATGACACTGAAAATAAACAATCCCGGATACATTCCAGTTTTTCGCTAAAATCCGCGCACCGTTTCGGGCAAAGTACGAGTTACGAATACTTTCCCAACGTTATTATACCGCAGAAATTGCATATCGACTGTGATTGATCTACTTTTGCAAAACCATAACACTTCACTATGCATTTGAAGCATAAGAGCGTGGTCGACTGTGTTCGCTCTTTCATGAACTAAATAATAATAACCTGTCAGCTGTACGCCGTAACGGCGCTTCGCTACCGTGCGACCACCAACAGTCGCACGCGGGCTGCGTGTACCGCGAGGACACCCACCCCTAAGCGGATTAGAATGCGCGCCGCAAGATTACGAGACAACCTCGTCACCACTAGACTACGGGTCGACCTTTCATGAACTAGTTCATTCAGCTACAGTATATCCGCTTATCGTCCTTGTTACAAGGAACTTAAAGCAATGAAACATCCAGTAATGTGTGTTCAGTGAAACCTAAATAATAATAGTAAATAATAAATCCCCAGCTGTACGCGGTAACGGCGCTTCGTTACCACGCGATCACCACCAGTCGCGCGTGGGCTGAGTATACCGCCAGGACGCCCGCCTACATATTACGTGCTACAAACTGGCACACCTTGGGTAACTACACTCCTAGAAACATGGATTTGGAAAAAAGAATAGCTACTGTGCATGATCGCTAGGTTTAGATCCACCTTCTCCACTGGATGCGGTTCCGCATCATAACAAATGGTTTGTTCAGTCATAGTTACAGGCCACTTGTGCGGTTCCATTGGGAAACTTATTCAGGCTTGATGAGTGTTATGGGAATGGATGCGAAGTTTCTCACTGTAACCACTTTTATTCGTTTACTCTCCATAGCGCGTGTCCAGCATAGGAGTATTGGGTACCAGAACCTGATCACTACAGAGAAACATTGGGCGCAGTCAACTGTCTTCTCCGGTGTTAACCAGTGTCAAGAACACTGATAATTGAACGCTGCGCATACCTGCCCAGAGGTATCGTTCATGGGCTCCATTTCATGATTGTGCATTGCCTTCGAGTGGATGGCATACTGGGGCATACCACACTTGTTAAATAGTGGTTAATAGCAACTCTAGGTAACAGCTTAAAACACTGAGAGTTACTTGGGACTACTTAGTCTTTTCTACAGCCATTCATAGCACGACGTCTTTTCTAGGAGGATCTTTCAACCAACCTGTTTGGATTTGTCCGCGTGGGTATAGCAGATGCTTAACAGAAGCATAGCAAATTTAACCGCAGTTGTTGTAATATGTAAGTTAGGGCAACTGGCTTTAGTAAACATAGTTTTAATTTCAATTTTCTGTATGCCTGTCTGATCCGGGAGATTCGGTTGTTGGTGTTTGATTATCAATCAAGATGACTTTTCATCATGTCATGATAACGGCGCTTCGCTGATGAACGCCGATCATCAGGGAAGTTCTAAGTACTCTAACTGTACACCATAGCTACCAATGTTCCGAGTTTTAGAGAAATTCAATCAAGGGTTTTCGCTCCCCTTTATTGAGCTTGGTGTTTACGGTATCAGAGTCTCCGTGCGTTCAGCCGGTTGCAAGTTCTTATTCATACTGCCGGCGCTTGGTGGCTTGGTCACCGTAGCAATATGCGACATCAGGGAGAACGAAGCTATACTAAGGTAGCTACCGTCGCCAAACCAACCCAATATAGTCCTAGTCGTACTAGGGCCGTTTGAGGACTCCAAATTTTTGTCACTTCCATGGTAAGTGGTTAGTGCACGCTGAGTAAATTCTATTGCTTAAAATTGGCCAGCGATTCTCGATGGATTCAGACAGAGACAGAAGCAGCAACTGTATTTCGTCTGTCGAGAATAGCAATACGGCAAGAGTACTGTCAGGGAGAGTAAAATGTTTCAGGAAATCTTTGTAATTCCATGGTAAAACAAGTTGATCCAGTGGTGTACCATCGAAACATCAAGCGGGTTAAGGAACGTTCGTGTCGTCACGTCGTGCGCACCAACCTTCTCATTGGCTAGCGGAACTGATCTGCTAATCAGGACAGCTGATCTAGCTGTTCTAATAGGTGAACCTTCCTTGGTTAACTTATAAATGTCCGTCAATTTCACACTACTGTTTTCCTTTTCGGTAGCTGGCTCTGCAGCGCGTTTTTGCCTCCAAGCTTTGACTTCTGATTTCCGGCTGGGATTCGGCCTTAGCAGATAAAGAAACCTATTCAACCGGAATCGCAGTCAAGTGACTGCTCATAAATGATGCTCTAATGATTTTGGTACTTTACTTTTCTTAGTCAAAAAGCTTCCCAACTGGCATTATGACACTCTCAACCGAGGAGGTACCATGTTCACTCTGCTGCCGCCCTATCCACCCGGGTGATAAATCGATGGAACCGGAGAACGTTATCAGTGCTCAGTCTGAGGAGGGTTTCAAGAGGCTCTTAAACTCCCACTTGTGTAAGATATCAGGATTGCACAGTTCTACTGTGGCTGCTCCAACCCAGTAGGACTGCTGGTCGCAATGGCACACGCTCCAGTTCTGAACTGGAAGCGATGACGCTGACATGGGACCTCCCTCGGCCCTCTACAACTAAATGAACGGATTCCTTTGTGTTTTGCATTCCTCAAAGCGAGCTAAACCAGTACGAGACTGTAAAACGCTTCTTCTTAGTAGCTTGCATCAACCATTCCCATTTGAGTAGGATGCAATCTGCTAACGTCGCTGGTCAGCCCACGCTTTGGAAGCTATAGTACAGAAAAATGTGCATTCGTCATGGATATCAGTTTGTCTGTAGCAGATATTCAAAGTCAGGAGGGCATGATGTTGACTGTTTATTTTCCATCTCCCAATATCACGTTCAACGGATATAGTAAATAAGCACAAAAGTCCTGTTCTTGTGAAGAGCTTTGTGAAGAATTGATTATCTGGATTTTAGACTGCACCGGTTCGAGCTTCACTTCCAGCTGTCTCAGTTTGGAAAGCAAAGATTGACGAAAGCATCCAGGTGTTGGACTGCTGGGATAGAACAACAGCTGACATCCAAGTTCAAGTTGAACTGGAACGACAGGGGTATCCTGTGGGTGTTTTTCCTTCAGCCGGTTGTTGAACCAGGAGTTGACGGACCTTGAAATACAGATGGACCCCAAACAAAGACCGCATCACACCTTATCCAACCAATTAATTCCCACCTATCCTGCCCTAACAGTCCCTAATAGGCCATTTACATGAAGTAACAAATAGGAAACATTAACATCAGAGGGCAAGAAGAAGCTGAGGCGAAAACTAAAGAAGTAGAATACTAAGATAGTTGTCATTAAAAAAGGAACTGAAAGTGCAAGTGAGTCAATTAGGAAAAAGTAAAGGTTTGGTGTTGGCACCAAAGAGCATCGAGCTGACGCGCAAAACTATTAACCGCAGGTTCCCCAACTACATGATCTGGAAGTGAAATCCTGCGTTCTACAACGAGCATGACAGACGAGTTTCTGTCCTACTCCAATCCGACCGTGGATTATGCAGCTTCAATGGGTGACCGTGGAGGCTAGGATACTTAGGGAACTAAATAACCCACACAAGTCTGGGCCGATCTTACCCGCCAAAATACGGTAAGTGCAAATGTGGTCCCCTTTATCCTCCGGTAGTGCATGGAGTACATCCCAGAATTATGCAAGCGTTCAGGATAGGACTGCCCCGTAGACTCTGCACTAACCTAGTACCCACTCGTAACACCCTTCCTAAGTCCATTTTGTTTCGGGTAAGACATAGTGGACAAACCTGAATACAATATTCCAAGTGGGGTCGCACCAATGCCGAGAATAGTTTCACACACATATTGGCCCTTACGACTCAGGAAGAGCGACGGATAAACCCCATCATACGTACCTCCGACAAGCAGCCTTCTTGCAATTGTCACCAGAGTGATGATGAGTGGACGATACCTAAATCAACCTGTTGAGTAACAATGGGGACGTCAGCGTCGCCGACAAAAATCGAGTTGGTGGGCTACCAGTTCCTGCTAGGAGAACAGAGAACTTGACTCGATTTAAGGGCATCAACTATAAGGTAGCCCATTAGCAGAGCCCCGGGATGCCCACAATATTCCAAAGGTTAAGATCGTCAGCAAAAGATTGTGATGACATTACTAGCTCTCGTGTTAAGCCATTTACATAGATCAAGAACAACAATGGCCCCAATACCGAGCCTTATGGAACGCCACTAAAAACAGCTTGTCAAAGTGTTGAATACTGCCTCTTGAATACGTCAGGTACTAACAATGTAATACCAACTCTCCTAGACGGATGAACGAACGAGACTCAGAATTATTTCTCGCACGGCACGGTAACTGACAATCTCGAGTCTGTGGGTTATCAGAACTTAGCCGCGAAAGATTAATTCACGCGAGTCGAACAGGTTCCTAGACCGAACGCAAAGTTTCTACGCACGATTTCCCAACCCAAGACTGAAGCAAGAACAAGACAGGCCTTTGCCACAGGCGCTTTTACTGGCCAAAGCGAAGGCGATTCTAGCGTTCTACAGCCTCATTTTTATATCACGAAACAGAGATGAAGGGGTTTTTTCCTCGGAAGGGGTTGCGTAACCAAACCCTGGAAACAAGAAACGTGGTTTTGTGTAAATGTGCAAAGTCCGTAAACTGAGCAGAAATGTTGGAAGTTTGGCGAGAGTTGTCCGGAAAAATGAATGTTGCTTAGATACAACAATGCGTGTCTGGTTGGAAACAAGACTGTTTCCGGGTGCAAAGGCTAACAAAGTGCATGTTACACGAGTTAGAAGGCTGAATGAAACGTGTGCGTTTTGTCTGGTCTGAGTACATGTGCACTCGAGTGAATCGGGTTTTCAGTCTTCCGTAATTTAAGCCTTTAGGGACGTTGGGTCCCCATAACACAAAGTGAAAGGCTGCATCCCACGCGTAC